ACACACCCACACGCGCGCGAGAGAGAGAGAGAGAGAGAGAGAGAGAGAGAGAGAGAGAGAGAGAGAGAGTTATCCTGAAGCAGCTGGCTTCATAGAAAGGAGGAATGGCCTTTTGAAGAAACATGTCCAGTGACAATTAGGTGACAGCAGCCTGCAGAGCTGTGGCTGGGCTCTCCAGAAGGCAGTGTCTGCTTTGGATCCATGTCCATTACATGGTAAGGTTTCTCCCATAGCGAGGATCCAGATGTTCCAGGATTCAAGGAGAGGAAAGGGGAATAGTTCTTTTTACTATCACCCATAATTACCCACTAGGAAAATTCTGCTTCCTGTTTCCCCAACATTAAGATCTGCTGGTCTAGAGAGAAGTCTTGGTTCCACACAGGGGAACATCCTGCCAAGAGGTGAAACAAACATTCTATCCAAATGGAAGCTGAGACTCCCCCTGGTCACACTGGAGCTTCTAATGCCCTTAAACCTACAGACTAAGAAAGAAGTAACCATGGAATATATCTTTACTCTTTGTGTACATGTGTTACTGTGATTGGGTTAATTCTGACTGCCCTAGAAAGGAGCTCCTAAGAGGGACACACATGGGGGACCCCAGGAAGGGAAAAATAGTTAAGATTTCCTGGGTGAACTGGGAGGGGATGGGGGATGGGACATGAGGGATCAAGAAGACTGAGTTAGGGGAGGGACAGAGAGTGAGAACAATGAAAGGGGTAAGTTGAGAGCAGGAGCCATTGTGGGGTTAGGGAGAAAACTGGGGCTAGAAAAATTCCCATCAATCCACAAGGATGACCCCAGCTAAGACTCCTACCCACAGTGCAGAGGATGCCCGAATGGGCCTTGCCCCTTTAATGAGGTTAAGGACTACCGTATTGTCACCTTAGAAGTTGCATCCAGTAACATAGAATCTGATGCAGTGACTCACAGGCAAGCACTTGGCTGAACTCCTAGAGTTCAGCTGGAGAGAGGGAGGAGGGATCATATGATCAAGGGGGGTCAAGAGCATGAAGGGGAAAAACCACGAGCTAGTGCGGTCTCAAGGACTATGGACTGACAGCTGGGGCACCTGCACAGGGTCGAACTATGCTCTCTGAGTTTAGGTGACAGTTACGTGGCTTGATCTGTTGCAGGGGGGCCTGGCATTGGGATCAGGACCTATCCTGGATGCATGACCTGTCTTTTATGTGAAGGTCTCAGCACTCACTGTGGGGTCAGATACCGGGGTGCAGCGTCCTCCTGGCTGCAGCTCTGGTCTAGGCTGCAGCAAGCGCGTGTGGAGTCTGTGCATAGTGGGTCTAGGGCGGCCTGATAGCTGAGCTGGGTGCAAGGCAGCCAAAGATGCAGGGGGAGGGACCGGTCTCCCGATGGGGTGGGGACAGTCACCGGAAACAAGAGCTGGAAGGATTTGGCCCATTGGCTGGGTTTATGGAAGAGTGGGAGGGTTTAGAGCAGTGATGTAAACAGACGCTGGGACACAAAGTGAGCGCCGGGAAGTTGGAGAGGAAGGGAGGTTAGGAGTAAAGAGTGCCTGTTCCCTGTCGTTGCTCGGGTTCCTGTACGGTGGGAGCCGCGCGCTGCAGACCCGGGTGCGGAGGACACGGCGGGTGCCCCGGGGGCTGCGGCCCCCGGGCCCGCCGGGGCCGGGGCAGTGGCGGGAACCGCAGCCCGGCGGCCCTGGAAGCTCCCAGGTCAGAGGAGCTGCGGGGCTGGGACCCGGGAGGGAGGAGCGGGGGTGCGAGCGGTTTCTCTGCTGCTCATCAGGAAGCCGGCTCCCAAATTCTGCTGTGCATGTCTTTCCTTGTCGGTAAATTTTCCATCATAGCTGGAATAGTCTTGTTCCCCCCATTATTTACTGATAATGAAATATTTTTATAAGAATAATTGAGTAGAATATTAGAATTTATGTGTAGAGGTTTGCAAGCATCTTTCTCTTTCCTATGGTGAAAACAACAAAGCTCTTGAAATTTACAATCATCCATACTAATTTCCAAGTTATACACTTTTTGGGGGGGTGCGACTTCCACAGTATACTTTGTTAACATTACCTTTTAAAAGTATGCTTTTATCAAGGTTAATTTTCCACCTGAGACTGATGCACAGTGGGATGTAAATCCAACGCTTTATACTGTGTATTTGCCTGGCCTGGTGGCCCATGTCTTTAATCCCAATACTCAGAAGGCTCAGGCAAGTGAGTCGAAGATGGATAAGTTCGAGGCTGGCAAGGTGTCCATAGTGACTTCAGGAACTGCCAGCACTGTGCAGGAAAACCCTGTTTCATGGAAACATAGAAACGAAAAAGAAATGTAAATGCATTATAGTCTAGAATATAGAATAAATGAGGATTCTCTATTTAGATTTTCAGTGTGGCTAGTTTTTCTGTTCATGGCTTTTTTATTTCTTTTGGTTTTGTGTTTATGTTGATCCTTGCTGGATTATTGGTAGTATTCTTCCTTCTTTTTGATACATAGTGGTGTGCTGTCTTGCTCATGGAGGATTACTTTCTCCTGCCATTATCTACTCTGCACATGAAATTTAGTGTTTCCCATGTTTTCATGGAAGATTCCTCTGACTCTGTTGTGTATGTTTTGCCTCTAATTTATTATCTGCCGTGCTGTTTAGTGAAATCAGTCATGTTAATGGATGACTGTCTTGAAATGCACTCATGTCTTCATCAAATTCAAGTTAGTAGTTTTCTTTGTGCCACAAGATGGTTAGTGTTGAATTTCTCTTCAAGCTTCAGATATCATTCCATGCTCTCCTGTCTTTGGGATCACTGACTGGGCCCCTGATAGAATGCTGTTGCGTGAGTGCTTTCATGTGTTTTGGTATTGTTCTTTGACAGCTTTCATTATTAATTTTACCTCTTCCTTTTTGCCCCTTTATTTTATAGGGAAGTAAGCCATCTACTCATTGTTCCCGAAAGAGGAACTCAAAGAAGAGAAACAGTAGGAAATGGCTGATTCTTCAATAAGCACTTCACAGGTCAGTAGACCTTTCTACTCTTTAAGATATATTAAATGACTTAACTTTTCTGGTGATGATAATTTTTTAAAAATTATTGTGTCCAGCACTCAGGAGGCAGAGGCAGGTGGATCTTTGTGACTTCAAGGCCAGCCTGGTGTAGGGAGCAATTACCAGGAGTGACTCCATAACTACAGGGAAAACCTGTCTCAAAAACACAAAAACAAAAAACGATTTATTGTGAACAATTCTGCAAGCAGAAAGAACAAAATCACACACTGAAATTAAGCATACCCAAAGCCTAAACCACTCAGTGTACTTTTAGACAGTTAGAGTCATCACAGGGCACAGAAGCTCTGGAAACTCACATGCGATTTTATATTTCACAATCGAATATATTTTGATTTATTTATTCACCATGAAAACCCCCCCAAAAAATCCTTTGACACCATTAGAATCAGCAAATCACTTAGCTTTACCTCCTTGTCCATAACTGGTGTTCATTTCCTGCTCTCAATCCCTGATGGATTAACACATCCTGTTCTCTTCTGCATGTTATACTGTGCCCATGTGTACATTGTTTGGACATACATACGTAATTGGGTAGATTCTGCATATGAGAGAAAACATGCTGTCCTCTTTCTAAAGGTGTATGACCGCACATAATATTACACATTTTGAGTCTGTACTTTTTCCTACAGATTTTTTATTATACTTTTCTCTTTAACTGAATAGTTTGTATAAAACTATAAAAATTAGTAATCTTATAAACCTTTTTATATAGTTTTCATTATCTGTTCATCTGTTGATAGCTATTCTAATACTTTTCCTTTGGTGATTAAAACAGCAGTGCACATGGTATATAAATTTCTCTGTGGAGGGCTGTGTTGTTCTCTGGGTATATGGCCAGGAGTGAAGGAACTGGGTCATACGCTAGTTCTCTCTTCCATTTTTTTCAATAATCTCCAAACTGATTCCTACAATAAAGGCTGTGTTAATTTGCACCCTCCCCTCCATCAACAATGAAAAGGGCTGCCTATCTCTCCATATCCTCTGCAATATTTGTTGTCAGGTACGTTGATGACATCCATTCTGTCTGGGGTGAGGCACTATTTTGAAATAGTTTTAATTTGAGTTTCCAAGGTGGCCTTTCTGGGTGCTTGTGTATTATTTACTGGCCATTTGAGTTTCTGTCTTTGAAAATTGTCTATTTAGTTCATTTTCCTGTGGCAAAATTTCTGCTGGCCTGGAGCCATAGAGTTACAAAGCAGCCCTAAAACCTGCTGGGCACACCTGGCCTGGCTCTGGAGTTAGTATCTAGCCATAATCTATCCTTTGATAGTAGATACCTTTTGTCACCTATGTTAATCTTGTTTGATAGTTTCCCAAGGATACAAAGCCTGTGGCAACCATGCCACGACTAAGTCTAATGGAACCTCCACTTGTGTCCGCACCATGACTAAGTCCAGTATCAGGTGAAAGCCTAGAGATTTAATTAGAAACAAAGGGGTCCGCTTATATACAGACTTACAACACAGTGGAAAAAATATACAGACTTACAGCACAGTGGAAAAACCCCAGGTGTAAGAGCTCATGTTTTTGATGCCAGCAGGTTATCAACTCACGGAGACCCCGTGGGTGCTGGGGCCCAACATCTCTCCCAAGAAAAGGCTACACAAAACTTGGTTGGGAGAGAAACCTGGAAAAGCATGGTATCCTCCTTTATAGATACTTTGTGCTTGCCCTTGTATTTTGGAAGCTTTATCTGGGTTGTTTTGAGTATATGAAAATCCCCTGGTATAAATGTAAATATGTAGAAAGATAAAAAATCCAGGCTGCAGACCCCTGCACCACAAAAGCCTAAATTCATTCTCAAAGTGCCTCTGAGCCTTCTTTCGGGGGAATTGAGTGAACCCACACAGAGACATCTATGACATTTTTCCATTTGTTGATTTGTAGTATCATTTCCTCAGTATTTAATTGATTCAGTTTTTGGTAAATTCTTGCTGTGAGTCTTATCCAAATTGTCACTGGTGCAGGTTCCCTTAGCTGTATCTTAAACATTTTTGGATGTCTCCTTTTGGAGTTCCCTCAATTTTTATTACTCTTTGATAGTAAAGTGAAATATTCTTCGAAACTTCTAAATTCTTATTTTCCTCTTTTGGCTTATGCATATTCTTAGAGAAATTTTGGATTATATCAAATATGACTGGTTGCAGATTTTTTTTTATCGATCCATAGTGGCTCAAATATTTTCATAAAATTAATTCTATAGACTACTTATCTTATGTCAGTGTTAAAATTGACAGTATGTAGTACTGTTACAATCCTTGCTATTGTGGAAAAGAAACAAAACTCTTGTCTATAAAATCAGTCATCTATTCTGTTTCCCATACCTACTCCTTTGCTATGTAATGCTGTGATATTGGACCTAGAGTTTAAACATCCCGGCTGAGTCTGTTAGAGTCATGTGAGGCCCCATTACACAGAGGATTGATTTGTGTCAGTGTTTTAGCATGATCTACAGGCATAGCATTTAAAGAACTTTTCCTTCTGACACATGTACACTGTAATCCTGTGGGACATAAACACAGCAACCATAATAGAGAGGTAACCGTGTCCAGACCTTGAATGTATTTCTTGTTTCACGTATAATGTTTGTAAGACTGTTGTGTCATACTGTTTTCACAGAATTAGAACACTTCTGATAGGATGTGACTGTATTGGAAATCATCTATTTGAGTAATTATCTTAGTTCATCTGCATTCCATCTCCTTATATCCAGGACAGCACTACCAATCAGTGCTTGGTCAAACCATACTTTTTGTTTCAGGGTCTGTTGACATTCAGGGATGTAGCTGTGGACTTCCAACAGGAGGAGTGGGAATGCCTGGACTCCACTCAGAGGGCGTTGTGCATTGATGTGATGTTGGAGAATTATAGCAACCTGGTCTCTGTGGGTGAGAACATTTTATTTGTAGAATTCCTAAACTGTCTTTTGTTTGTTCTGACTTAATAAGATGTAAAATCTGTTAAGCTGTCAAAAAAACCAACCATACAAACAAACAAACAAACAAACAAACAACAACAACAACAACAAAAACCAGAGACAACCCAAAGTTTAGTATGAGGAAAGAAATTTTTTTTCCATTTTCCATTTCAGAGATGCCATCCACCTTTCATTTTAGTTATGAGATTTAGCCACACATCCACTCATATCTCAAAACTCCATGTTCATTATTGTGAGAAAATTCAAGATATACAAACTGGAAATACTAAATATACTGACGAATTTGATAAAAATATCAATGGGGGAGCAGGGCGTTGGTGGTGCACCCCTGTAATCCCAGCACTAGGGAGGCAGAGGGAGGTGGATCTCTGTGAGTACGAGGCCAGCCTGGTCTACAGGTTCAGTTCCAGGACAGTCTCCAAAGCTACAGAGAAGCCCTGTCTCACTCCTCCTACCCCCCCAAAAAGAAATAATTTGTAAGTGTAGTGTCCTAACCCCAGGATGCATACTGTTTGCAGTAATAACTGTTAAAAGGCATTGTGCTTTATTACAACTGAATTATGGTGAGTTAATACTAGTACAAAATTCAGTGTTATTTGATTATGCTGAACAGACTGGAATAATTTTACAAAATGTTAAGTCTAACATGAGTCCAAAACATGATTATTCTGTAATTGTCTTCCTTCTATACACATCTTCATATTACATCCTTCACTTTCTTCCCAGTGGAGGACACACAGACACCCTTCTTGTAAATAATCTCAGGAGTCAGTGTACAGAGTGGACTTTAGAATGACCCTATGAGTCAAATAGAAAACATAGCAGTGTGTGGAGCTCAAACAGTGGAGCACAGAAATAAGCAATAGCTGCCTGTTCCAGCCCTGCCTTCAATGATCTAGAGCCTCTGACATTGCACAGAGTATTGTCTTTGCATCCATTACTTTTCAAGAATCTAATGTGTTTTTCTAGAGAGAAATACAAGCCCTTTGATGCCTTTCAATGAATTGTGACTTCAGAACAATCCTCTTCATTGCCTGTCAGTTAGCTTCACTTTCACTGTGAACCTGGGATTGGATTCAACTCCTCCTCCTCAATCTCTGAGAACTAATATTTAAAGACAGAGATATGTATTCTAAATGCAGTCCCTCAGTGAGCTCTATCCTAAGTCTAATTCACTTCACAGCTGCCAATTATTTCTTCCATCTTTGTCTCAGGTAGAGATTTTTTATGTAGATGAGATATCTGTTAGAACTCACTGATCTTTGAAGGTTGGCATGCTGCTTTTGTGAGAAACCATGCAATTACAGCAAAAGAAAAATGTCTATTATTGGAAAATCTAACCTAAAGAGTTCCATATTCACTTATATTAAATGACAACTTAGGGAGACAGTCATTTATCACATGTTGATTATTGGTACAAGCCCTATTAATCTGAAATGTACTCATTTTCAGAGAACTATTGCAAGTGTGACCTTGTCCATCAACATATGAAGACTGAAAAGGAGTCTTGTCAGTGTAATGAGCTTGGCAAAGTGCTTCATGACCCCTCCACATGTGCACTTTATAGAACAAGTGAAACTACAGAAAACTCCAATAACTACACATGCAGTAATCACAGGGATGCCTCTGTTGACTCATCAAACCCAGACAGACATGAAAGCATGCACACTGGAGAAGAAGCTTGCCAATCTAAAGACTGTGAGAAATCTTTACATTTGTGTTCCAACATTACTCAAGATCAGAGAATCTACACTGCAAAGAAAGATCACACACAGGAAGAAGGTGATGACTATTTCACTTCTGCATACAGTCTTTTGCAACAACAAATCTACATTGGAGAGAAACCACACCAGTGTGAGATATGTGGGAAATGCTTCAATACTGCCTCAAGCCTCACTGTACATGAGAGAATTCATACTGGAAAAAAACCCTACAAGTGCAATGTTTGTGAAAAATCCTTCTCTCAGGGTTCAAGCTTTAAAATACATCAAAGACTTCATACTGGAAAGAAACCTTACAGATGCAAAGAAGATGACAAATCCTTTGCCCACTATTCCACTTTCAAGAAACATCAGAAAATGCACACTGCTGGGAGACACTATAGTTGTCAAGAATGTGGCAAGGTCTTTCATCAATTTTTACACTTTAAAAGCCATTACCGACTCCATCCTGGGGAGAAGCTTTACAAGTGCAATGAGTGTGACAGAGCCTTTCTCCACTATACCTCACTTAGACGGCATCAGAAAATTCATTCTTTAGAGAATTTTCATAAATGCAAAGAATGTGATAAGTCCTTTCTTGAATTATCTCTTCTTAATAGGCATTACAAAATCCATACCAGTGAAAAACCATACAAATGTGAGGTTTGTGACAAATCCTTTACCTGGAACTCAAACCTTAGAAGACATCAGAGAGTTCACACTGGAGAGAAACTTTACAGATGTAAAGAATGTGAGAAGTCTTTTGCCAGCTCCTCATATCTTAGATCACATCAGAAAATTCATACTGGAGAGAAACTTCCTAAATGTGAAGACTGTGACGTATCTTTTATTCATATGGCAAATCTTAGAAAACATCAGAGAGTTCATACTGGGAAGAGACCTTACAGTTGTATGGAATGTGACAAATCCTTTTCCTGGGAGTCACAACTTAGAATGCATGAGAGTGTTCATACTGGAGAGAGACCTTACAGTTGTGAGGAATGTGGCAAATCTTTTGCCCATTCTTATGTTTTAAGGAAACATCAGAAAATTCACACTGGAGAGAAACTTCATAAATGCAAATACTGTGACGTATCCTTTATCCACATTGAAAGCCTTAAAATACATCAGAGAGTTCATACAGGAGAGAGACCTTACAGATGTCAGGACTGTGACAAATCCTTTACCACTTGTGCAAATCTTAGAAGACATCAGAGAGTTCACACAGGAGAGAGACCTCACAGTTGTAAGGAATGTGACAAATCTTTTACAAGGTATGAACATCTTAGAACTCATCAGAAAATTCATGCTGGACGAAAACCTTACAAATGTAAAGACTGTGATATGTCCTTTAGTGAATACTCACTACTTAGAACACATCAGAGCATTCATGCTGGAGAGAGACCTTACAGTTGTCAGGAATGTGACAAATCCTTTACTAGTTGCTCACGTCTTAGACAACATCAGAGAGTTCACACAGGAGAGAGACCTCACACTTGTAAGGACTGTGACAAATCCTTTACCAGTTGCACAACTCTCAGAAGACATCAGAGACTTCATACTGGAGAGAGACCTTACTGCTGTAAGCATTGTGACAAATCTTTTACCAGGTGCGATCATCTTAGAATACATCAGGAAATTCATACTGGAAAGAAACCTTACAAATACAAAGACTGACATATCCTCTATCCATATTACAAATCTCAGGAGACCAGAAAATTCATACTAGAGAGATACACACCATTGAAATAATATGACATAGGTTTATGTCATATTTATCTGCTATTCTCTGCTTGCAAATAACAGTATACATAATAGAAGCATAAAGACAACAAACTTGTGAAAGCCTTTAATGAGGTTTAAACTTTAGAAAATATCACAGAGTTTATGCCAAAATAAAAATCTCTCAGTGTCACTGTAGAGAAAGCTTCTTATTTCTTTTCATGTGTATGTGTGCTTTGCCTGCTTCTTTTACTGTGCACTACATGTAGGCCTGGTGCAGGTGGAGGCCAGAGGTGTCATAAGATCCCTTGAAGCTGGAGCTCCAGATGATTGTGAGCTGCTGTGTGTGTGTTGGGAATTGAACCCCAGTCTTCTGAAAGTGCAGCCAGTGCTCTTAACTTCTAAGTGTTATCGCCACCTCCTGGAAAAAGCTGTCCTAAAAAATTGATCTTGTTCAACATCCTAAAATTTGTAACAGTGCCAGGTATGATGGTCCAAGCCTGTAACCCTGCACTCAGGACAGAACAGTAGTAGGATCTCTGAGTTGAGACCGTCATCATCTACATAGTGAGTTCCGTGACAGCAAGGTTTACATTAACCCTGTTTCAAAAAACATAAAGAGGACAAAATGTAATAACAGAAAAAATGTGAAAAGGCTTTAAGTTTTGTCTCTCTGTTTGCTGTGCATCACAGAATTCATGCTTTGGACCAGCCATGTAAAAGCATACTTTTCTAATTCCTGTCTTTCTGTTCATTGGAAGTTCTGTCTCTGAAATGCATTCAGTTTAACAGATCCCTTACCTAGTTCCGAAATTGTACACATAATAAAACACAAGAGTGACCACATGCATAACCTCCTGCCCAGCTATTGTAATTTTAAAAAGCTGGGTGGAGGGTTCATATGCAGATCTATTTCATACACGGCTTTGTGCCAGATTTTCTTCAGCTCACAGGGAATCCCTGTTACTGGGATGTGATAGACCAATAGGAAGCAGAAGCCCTTCAACAAGGGAGGGATGAAATCAGGTTTTTGCTCAGGGACTCTGCTCAGGTGGATTACATCTTCAGGAACTTCTACCACTACAACAAATCCCTGCATGCCAGAACTGAACAATCTTGGGTGCCCACAGCCCGTGTGTGTTTCACTCCTCCACTGTCACTGGGCTTCTGGAACATTATAAAGACCCACCTCTTGCATGTTTTTTGAACCATTGCTTATAATGTCACTGAGTAGGACTTTTCTTTTCAGCCTGCATAATATCTGCCCGGTAGTGATCCGCAGGTGGACTACATGTAGTGGAATCAGTAGGCTCCCTCTGTCATCATATTTTACAAGACTTGCTAAAAGAGTATCATTATAAACACAGTTAGGATTTGGCTGTTTAGAGTGAGAGCCAGTCAAGGCAAAGTAACCTCTGTCCCCTAGGTCTGCTCTCGTGTGAATCAGACAATACAGCCATAAGAAGCACAGAGCTGGCCTTTAGGAGTTTTCACCCACAATGTGATATTAGTCATTCACCTCTATCCAGTGGTATCTTGTATTACACAGACAAAGGTGCCTAGAATCAACAGATGGTTTGCAGGTGTCCAGGACTGGGAAAACACAGCTAGTGAGCGGTCTCATCTTAAAATGGGTGTGATGACTCAGTGAGTGAGACAATTCTGGGACATTTGCTATGAAGAATTATATTTCTCACTGAAGAACAAATTATTAATATTAAATAGGTATTTCAACAGTGTGACTAATGTTTGAAATCAAGTTTTAAAAGTCCAAGACAAACATGTAAACAAGAGACTGTCTTCTTTTGAGAGAACAAAATGAAGTTTTTCTGGCCACAGGGCATTATGGTCAGTGTCATTTTGTCCTCAGAGAAAGACTCTCAAGTAAACCAATGTCTCTAAGACAGTTTTTCAAAGGTCAGAGTTAAAGGCTAATAATACAGTTGTGTTGCAGAGCCCTCAGTATTCATCTGTGGTGAGGGCTGTGACTTCAGACAGCATGCAGTTGGAGTTTTGAGTGGGATTTCATTTCTAAGCTGATACATTCAGTCCACACATTTTCATCTTTTCCTGTGCTCTTGAGCTTGTGAACCTGGATGGAAATGAGACCAGAAGATGCTCAGACACATCAGATGAGAGTGACTCCATTGGTTGCTGAAGTCTGGTTAAACTATAATTGATCATTTGGATGCTGGTATTTATGTCTTGTTATAAGGTCATAGCTGAATTAAGAAGGTACAAATTATAGGATTTTAGTACAATTAATTCTTCACAGAAAATCCAAATTGCAGATGTAATGGGTACTTACTGTACAACCGAAATGTCTGTCAATAACAACTTGGCACCTTTTTGTCATTGAACACAGTAATACAACTTGAGTGAACCCTTCAGGAAATATTTTCAGATTCTAGTGTTGTTTCTCAGTGCCAGACTATGTTCTCAGCTCTGCCCTAGACCTTTGTGATACAGTAGCCAAGTCCATTCTCCTTGTCTGTCACTGTGGCTGCACAGGGCCAATTTGGGCACTCTACATACATGTGACAGTTGTGTTCCAGGGTCTAACTGTGGGACTCCTAGTAGTGGGAGCAGTGTCTGTCTCTCATGCTTGGGCTGGCTTTTGGGCAGCTATTCCTTATTCTAGGTTGCCTTGCTCAACATGAAAACAAGGGAAGAAGCTTAGTCCTCAACTTGATAACCCATGCTTGCGATATGCCTGGGAGGCCTGTGCCTTTCTGAAAAGAACAGAGGACAAATGGATTGGTGGAAGGGGGTGGAGGAGGGGATAGGATGAGAGTGGGGAAAACTGGTGGGTCATTAAAATAAATGAATAAATTCAATAAAAAATAAAATAACAAAAATTCACAGCAGACACTTAAATTCACTTTGAAGTCCTGAGTAGGACAGGAAGTATTCACACTAATGTCTAAAATACTATCGCTGCCAGTTGTAGTGATGTATTATTTATGATTTATTAAAGCTTGCCTGAGGATACAGAAAGCAAAGTCAGCCACAAGCCATAGAAGCCAGGCAGACATTAATACCAGCAGCCAGAAAATTAGAGGTGGTGGTGCACACCTTTAATCCTAGGACTCAGCATTAGGAGCTAGACAGATATCTGTGAGTCCAAGGTCACGCAGATCTACACAGGATTGATGCAGTCCAAAGAGAAACAGCTCATACAAAGATGATCTCAGCACCTGGGGTCACAAGACTTTAATCCCAGCATTAGGGAGATATATAAGACAGAAGCAAGGTCTTAGTATCAGACATTCAGTCACCAGCCACATTGAGGACAGGAGGCATTCATTCTCCAGCTACACTGAGGAGAGGCAAGTCTGAAGCTTGGTGAGAGCTCATGGAGACAAGATCAGGCCTTTCAGTCTGCAATGACCAGCTGCTTTGCTCTTCTGATCTTCAGCTTGAAATTTGAATGCCAATCTGTGTCTCTGTCATTTATTTTATTGTGTTACAGCCAGTAGAACTTTATGGAAGTGAAAGAGACTCATGAGACCCTCTCTCAGCCAGGGTGGTAATTGAGCCAGTCTTACAGAATTGCTGGTTCTCAGTACATTTGGAATACTTATGAGCCCCTGGATTAAAACACTACAAAGTGAAAGAGGCTTTCTTCATGAAGCATGAGAGGTGTACAAATTGGTAGTTGTAAACAGACATTCCCTCAGGTTGTTGAAATAAGCATTGAGAAGGAGAGTGACTCGTGTGCCACCCTGAGAACAAGGCTTTCGAGAGGTTTGTGTTTCCCCCTGAGAATTTACAGGAAGCAGCCAAAGCCTCTCTTCCAATAAAAGAAAAATTAATCTCTGAAGTAATGCTGGAGAAATGCTCTTTTTCTGCTGAACAAAAGTGTCATTGGATTAAGCAGCATACAGCTCCTGTGAGCCCATATCCAACATTTTTTGATACATTTGATCCCTCACTAGTGTCTGCAGAAGATGAAGAACATGGGCTCTGAGAGACAGTGTAGTAATGAAGAAGGGGTGGATGCCCCTCCCAATGCAACAAGTTCACACATTTGAAGCTACTGCACAGATCAACCCATTGTGGAACCAAAATTATCCAATTGGGATGACCTAAGTGAGCCTGAAGCCCTGCAGGGATCTGCAGCTTCACTGTGTATGATGGGATTGGTGGTTTCTGTCTGCCATCAGTGTTCCGGGATTTTTTTTTTAAAGGAGTATCACTAGAGGCGAGAGTGCCAGCCCCAGGGACACATCAGAGGTGAGCCTCCAACCCTGGAGCAAAGTCAGAGGCAAGCAACCTGGTTTCGTGGAAAACATGAAAGACAGAAGGTCCTGAACAGGTGTTTTGGAGACCCTATGAGACCCTGGATGCCATCCCAGACTACTATCCCTAGCAAACCTTTCAATAACCAAAACAGAGATAACGAGATATTCCATGACAAAACCAGATATAAACAATACCTATCCACAAATCCAACCTTACAGAAAGTAGTAGAGGCAAATCTATCCTTTATGGCTCTTAATAGCACAAGACCCAAGTTGACTGGCTCCTACTTGCTGTGTCTACAGTCCCAAACACTGTGCTTCAAGAAGATTCCAATGGTAGAGAATTAGAGGGATTCCTCCTCATTGAACTGTCTACGGGGAGATACTATTGAGAGAGAGATCCCACTTGGCTAACTTTCCCACTCCTCTTAGGTAATTACACCTACTTAACTAATAAGTCCAAATGGGAGGGGGGCATCAATGTGGCATAACTGTTTCCAGGTGCATAACTCCACTTGGTGGTTAAGGTCATGGGTGGATGGAGCTTTCTGGCTATGTGAGCACACGGGGCTCACACCCTGCTTTTAAGGGTCATGACTTGTAGCTAGAGGAGATAGGTGTGCTGTGTCACACTTCTCCCACACATCCTCTATAGGAGAGATGGTGAATGAATATCGTTGAGGCTAAACTATCATCAGAAAAGAGATGCCCTAACCACTGTCTGGGGGCCACAGGCACTGCTCTGGGAGCTACTTCTCTGGTCTATTGGACAAGGGATTAGAAGAACTAAGGACACAGATAGGCGTCAGCCTACATAAGGTAGAGACTAGCCTAAAGTATTTACAACAGTTTTTAAACTCCCTAGCTAGAGTGGCTTTACAAAATAGGCAGACTAGATTTCTTGCTGCTGGAAAGAGAGGGGCTATGCAAGACTTTGGGGGAGGAATGTTGTTT